AAGCCTGCTCCTCTTCCACCCTCTGTAGCCTTAGGGCGATTGTTTTGCCATGCCTCGCTATTACGTTTTTATCTATATTGGGAATCCTCCCCCCCCTCTCCCTTCTGCCCCAGTGATCCCCATCCTGGCACTTTGCCCTTCTCTCCGTCCCCGACTTGGGCTGACCTTCAGCCACCCACCGGCTAAGAAATCTTATAAGCTGCTTTGGGCCTGAAGGCTAATTCCTTCCCTGGGAAAGGCACGTAACCGGCCGAGGTGAAGGCCCTCGGCTGCGTCGGAGGTGCTGATTCCAGCAATATTTAGCTCCACTCCCTAATCTATACACATAATAAAAGTGACAAATGTGTATGTGTGTATGAGACGGAGGTGTCCGCTTACATAGCCTCTGCCCTCCACAAACAGGCTATAGTTCCCAGTGCTGAGAAGCTTCCAAAGGCACTCTCTCAACTGACATTGCAGGTTATAGCGAGTGTCATGAACATGTAGCCCAAACGCTGCCAATGTGCCAATGTCTTCCCCAAGCACTACGGCCGTACTTACTTAGGCGATCCCTCATAGTCCGAGGATGATGGTCCTCCAAGTTCTGTGTCCTGGGGGTGGGTCCGTAGGGTGGCTGTGGAGACCTATTCTTGACCTGCATCTTCTCCCGCAGTGAGGGCATTGGTTTCCAGATGGAAGGCGGTCTCAGTCGGGGTTGGCTTGACGCGCCTTCCTCTTGGCACATTTCTCTCTTTCACCCTCCATTCGTGCCTCTTCAAATTCTGCAGCACTGCTGGTCACAGCTGACCTCCAGCTGGAGCACTCAAGGGCCAGGGCTTCCCAGTTCTCAGTGTCTATGCCAGAGTTTTAAAGGTTAGCTTTGAGCCCATCTTTAAATCTCTTTTCCTGCCCACCAACATTCCGTTTTCCGTTCTTGAGTTCGGAGTAGAGCAACTGCTTTGGGAGACGGTGGTCGGGCATCCGGACAACGTGGCCGGTCCAGCGGAGTTGATGGTGGAGGACCATTGCTTTGATGCTGGTGGTCTTTGCTTCTTCCAGCACGCTGACGTTTGTCCGCCTGTCTTCCCAAGAGATTTGCAGGATTTTCCGGAGGCAGCGCTGATGGAATCGTTCCAGGAGTTGCATGTGATGTCTGTAGACAATCCATGTTTCGCAGGCATATAGCAGGGTTGGGAGGACAATAGCTTTATAGACAAGCACCTTGGTATCCCTACAGATGTCCCGGTCCTAATAATAATAATAATAATAATAATAATAATTTTTACCCCGCTACCATCTCCCAAGGGACTCGGTGCGGCTTACATGAGGTCGAGCCCAAATACAACAATACAAGCAAACACTCTCAGCTTCATTCGGAAAAATGCTGCACTCACAGAGCTCAGGCAGTGTTGTATTTTGGTGTCAATGTTGACTTGTTGGAGAGGTGGCTGCCAAGGTAGCAGAAATGATCAACATTTTATAATGTTAAACCATTAAGCTGTATCGCTGGCATTGGAGAGGGGTTGGCTGGCTACGGCCCACCACCCAAGAAATGCTTTCATTTGGGGATAATTTCAACCTAGATTTGCAAGTTAACTATAAATCCCAGCAACTAAAACTCCCAAATGACAAAATCCCCCCTACTCAACCCCACCAGTATTCAAATTTGGGCATATTGGGTATTTGTGCCAAATTTGGTCCAGTGAATGAAAATACATCCTGCATATCAGATATTTACATTACGATTCATAACAGTAGCAACAAAAATAATTTTTGTTGCTATCCTTGCTACCTTTGAGGATGCTTGCCATAGATGCAGGCAAAACGTCAGGAGAGAATGCCTCTAGAACATGGCCATATAGCCCGAAAAAATCTACAACAACCCAATAATTTTATGGTTGAGGGTCACTACAACATGAGGAACTGTATTTAGGGGTCGTGGCATTAAGAAAGTTGAGAACCACTGGGCTAATACATTCTCTCCCATGTGGTAGGAATAGATATTTCCCTATTTACTCAAATATAATGCTCGCCTTTCTGAAATCAGGGTGTGCATTAGATTTGCGTCATACAGTCATCGTAGTGCTGAGCCAAAGCAAAAGGGGAATATGCTTCAGGAGAAGCTGGAGCTCCTATTTGAGGGATATCTCCTCTAATTTAATGGCCATGGCTCCATGATGTGGGATACTGGGACTTGTAGTTTTGTGAGGCATCAGTATCTTTTGGCAGAGAAGGCTCAAGACCTCATAAAACTACAGGACACATGATTCCGTAGCTTTGTACAAAGGCAAAGCGGCTGAGGGGGAAAGGAAAGGGCCTGAGGTTGTTAGGAATTGTGGGAGTTGTAGTCCAAAACACCTGGAGGGCCAAAGTTGGCCCATGCCTGGTGTAGATGCACACAGTGTCTGCTTCAACATCAGCTGCATTTGCTGATTTTCTTGGTTGGCAGCAAAAATGGATTTTCCTCTTGGACAAAGAAGTCGCACAAGTTTGTTTGGACAAACAAGTCACACAACTTTGCAAGTCATTCATTCTGTGCCTGCGCTGACTCATGTCTTGAGAAAACTGGTTTGTCATAATAATTCCGGTCCTGTCCATCAGTTGAGGCTTTATTTTCCCTTCTAGGATAAAAAGTTACATATTTCCAAAATTATTGTTGGTAGGGTTGTACTAGTAGGTGTCGTTTCTAAGTGAAGAAAATGGGATATCATAATTACTATGCCGAGTTGTTTTTTCAGAATTTTGCCCATTTCTGGAAGCAAAAACCACAGTGAATTGAATGGCCTATAAAACTATCCCAGAAAACAGAAGGAAGTTCCACATTAAATTTGGACAGTGAATGGTCAGAGGAAATAACCACCATTCTGTTTTTATATACTGCATTTTTCCCAGTTTGCAAAAGGCAGAAATTGGTTATTTATTTGTCGTGTCAGGCAACCAGTCAATTATATTACATTTCTAACAGAACAAAGCAAACAAACAGACAAAATACAAAATTTGTGAGTTTGGTAGCTGATTAAATGTCCTTTGACCAGTATCTGGCCACTTGGAGTGCTTCTGGTGTTGCTGCAAGAAGGTCCTCCATTGTGCATGTGGCAGGGCTCAGGGTGCATTGCAGCAGGTGGTCAGTGGTTTGCTCCTCTCCACATTCGCATATTGAGGATTCCACTTTGTAGCCCCATTTCTGAAGGTTGGCTCTGCATCTCGTGGTGCCAGAGCGCAGTCTGTTCAGCGCCTTCCAAGTCGCCCAGTTTTCTGTGTGCCCAGGGGGGAGTCTCTCATTTGGTATCAGCCATTGGTTGAAGTGCTGGGTTTGAGCCTGCCACTTTTGGACTCTCGCTTGCTGAGGTGTTCCAGCGAGTGTCTCTGTAGATCTTAGAAAACTATTTCTAGATTTAAGCAACCAGCATGCAAGCAAAAAATTGGTGATAAAACATATATCACTGACAACGTACAAACACTGTGTTTCATGTTTTGTCAAAGGCTTTCATGGCCAGAATGATTGGATTTATGTGAGTTTTCCGGGATGTATGGCCATGTTCCAGAAGCATTCTCTCCTGACATTTCCCACATCTATGGCAGGCATCCTCAGAGGTTGAGGTCTGTTGGAAACTAGGAAGTGGGGTTTATATATCTGTGGATAATGTCCAGGGTAGGAGAAATAACTCATTGTCTGTTTGAGGCATGTGTGAATGTTGCAATTAGCCACCTTGATTAGCTTTGAATGACCTTGCAGCTTCAAAACCTGGCTGTTGTTGCCTGGGGGAATCCTTTTATTGGGATGTGTTAGCTGGCAGGTTCAAATCCGGGGAGAGGCGGATGAGATCCCTCTATCAGCTCCAGCTCCTCATGTGGGGACATGAGAGAAGCCTCCCACAAGGATGATAAAAACATCAAAAATCATCTGGGCGTCCCCTGGGCAACATCCTTGCAGACGGCCAATTCTCTCATACCAGAAATGACTTGCAGTTTCTCAAGTCGCTCCTGACATGATTAAAAAAAAACTATTATATATTATTAAAATGAGGATGTGACTGCTACTAAATGGGAAGCAGTATTTCTGTCTGGAATTCCCTTTGATTAGCACTGAATGGCCTTGCAAGCTTCAAAGCTTGGCTGTTGCTACCCGGTGGAATCCTTTGTTGGGAGATGTTAGCTGGCCCTGATTGTTTCCTGTCTGGAATTCCCCTTGGTTAGCATTGAATGGCCTTGCATCTTCAAAGAATGGCTGCTCCCTACTTGGGGAAACCTTTGTTCGGAGGAATTTGCCTCCCAACAAAGGATTCCCCCAAGCAGGAAGCAGCCAGGCTTTGAAGTTGCAAGACAATTCAATGCTAATCAAGGTGGCCAATTGTAACATTCACACCTCAAACACATACGAGTTCTTTCTCCCACACTGGACATGATTCCACAGATATATAAACCTCATTTGCCTAGTTTCCAACAGACCTCACAACTTCTGAGAATGCCTGTCATAGATGTGGGGTTTTTGTGTGTGTGTAGGTGTCAGGAGCGACTGGAGAAACTGCAAGTTGCTTTTGGTGTGAGAGAATTGGCTGTCTGCAAGGACATTGCCCATTGACGCCTGGATGTTTGATGTTTTACCATCCTTGTGGGAGGCTTCTCTCATGTCCCCACATAGGGAGCTGGAGCTGACAGAGGGAGCTCAACCCGCTCTTCTTGGATTCGAATCGCTGACCTGTTGTTCAGCAGTCCTGCCAGCACAAGGCTTTAATTCACTGCTCATCGGAGATTCCATAGATGTGGGTGAAATGTCAGGAGAGAATGCTTCAGGAACATAGCCATATAGCCCGGGAAACTCACAGCAACCCATTGTGATGAATGAATGATTAAACAAATGGCATAATTAAATCTGCTTAAAAATGTTACTTGAAGGAGTAAAGATCCTAAAAATAATAACCAACTTCCAAAGTTTGTATGGATTGAAGAGCCATTTCTACTGTTCTAGTCTTTCTGAATGAGATTTCTTCTTTCTTCTCTCTCCATCCCATTTCAAACAGGTGTCTACACTCCAGAACCTTCGTGCAACTTCTGGTGGGCCTTACTTTCCACCGGACTGATGTTCGTGTATCACTTCACCATTTTACAGAGTCTGGGAATGGTGCGTAAATTGTTTAGTGGATCTTGGCCCGAGTTTCAGTTGTGTACTTAATGAAATAATAATAATAATAATAATAATTATTATTATTATTATTATTAATAATAATTATTATTATTATTTCATAAGTGCGTAAGTGAGTACGACAATTCAAAGATGGCTGTGATAACGTCCATGATGAGGACCGCTCCGATCGCCCTTCTTTGATTACAGACGATTTGGTGGCTTCAGTTGAAGCAAGGATTCGTGAGAACAGGTGCTTCACAATAACAGGTCTCTCAAATGAATTTCCTGACGTGTCYAGATCAGTGCTTTACAACATTGTTTCTGAACACCTAAAGTTTAGGAAACTGTGTTCCAGTTGGGTCCCGAAYCTCCTAACAGAGGACCACAAAAACCAAAGATTTGAGTGTGCTATCAAATCAAATKATCTGTAATCAAAGAAGGGCAACCAGAGCGGTCCTCATCATGGACGTTGTCACAGCCATCTTTGAATTGTCGTACCCACTTACGCACTTTGCGTTCACTCATAACAGTATCACCGTACATTTCACAAATCTGTCGATGAATTTCTGCAGCAGGCAGGTTCCTTGCTGACAAAAACCATATCACTGAGCGAACCTCACATGCGGAGGGTGAGTTGATAGTCTTAAACATTTTTAAAGCACAGAACAGAACCGTACAGGTGAGCTACAGAGTGGAAACTGAGCAGAGTTGTTCCCGAGACATGCCAGTACACGATGCACGCGCTCGTTGCGGTATGAGCGCGAACTACTAGTGTCTACAACAAAACGGATCTTACTTAAAAAATACCCCTCGTATTTTTATTCACTAGACCAAACTGGGCACAAATACCCTATACGTGGGGTTGGGGGGATTGATTTTGTCACTTGGGAGTTGTAGTTGCTGGGATGTATAGTTTGCCTACAATCAAAAAGCATTCTGAACTCCACCAACGATGGAATTGAACCAACCTTGGCACACATGACCTACAGGAAATACTGGAAGGGTTTGGTGGGTATTGACCTTGAGTTTGGGAGTTATAGTTCACCAACCTCCAGAGAGAACGGTGGGCTCAGACAATGATGGATCTGGACCAAATATTGGCACAAATACTAAATATGCCCAAATTTGAACAGTGGTGGAATTTGGGGGAAATAGAGCTTGACATTTGGGAGTTGTAGTTGCAGGGATTTATAGTTTACCTACAATCACAGAGCATTCTGAACACCATCAATGAGAAAATTGGGCCAAGCTTCCCACGCAGAACCCTCACAACAAACAGAAAAATACTGTGTTTTCTGATGGTCTTTGGCGACCCCTTTGACACCCCCTCACGACTCCCCCCTTCAGGAATTCTGACTTCCAGGTTGAGAAACACTGGGTTAGACCTTCCCACCTGTAATAACCCTGCATCTGATTCTGAGCAAAGCAATTCAAGGATATGGACAAGATGGAAGGGGTCCAGAGGAGTGCTCCTATGATAATAGTTTGCTATGCGAGTAATCAATTAATATCTTTCTCCTTTTTCCCAGGCCACAGAAGTGAACCTGAACAATATGCTATGCCCAGCCATCTCGGACCCTTTCTACGGCCCTTGGTACCGGATATGGGCCTCGGGGCACCAGACGCTCATGACCATGATCCATGGGAAACTCATTACGGCGGTCTTCTACAGCACTGTTCCCGTCTGCAAGTTCTGCCTGGATTTACTCCGACTTCCAGCTAAAAAAATATCCTGAATTCTCTTTGGGAGGAAACGGAAGAGGACCGTGCTTGAAGCGGGAAGGAAAAGGCCGTGCATCTATCATTCCTTCCATTTCTTCCATCCGTTGTGAAGTAAGGCCCTTCCTTCCCTTGCAGCCCCTTTCTGTTTGGTTTTTTGATGGCGAAATTTGTGGCCTTATTGGGGGAGCGACATTGACTCGACACATTCTTTCTATCCAGCCCAATCTGGCAGCTTTGGACCGTTTGAGCCCCCCAAAAAGAGTCAGGATCTCTCTTCCATATTATCCCAGAGAAGCCAATTCACTGCCGATCTTTTTGACCAACTAACTCACCGACCGAGGGCTAGTTTTGTATTTCCCTCCCTCGAAATCCCTGCTGCGTTGCGGGCATCTCTTGCCTCTCTGCCGCCTTTCTTCTGTGGCATTTTCAGGGGTTTGTTTGTGCAAATCAGTATGGTTTTGCTGTTACGGCTGGTTGAAACAACATGGAACAATAACAGCAACGTATTTTGCTAAATATCAACTTTGGAAGCTGTCTGTGATTTTCTGTTTACTATCCATTGCTAGCCCATGGATTGCTCTTCAAATGGTGAGAAACAGAAGGCTGAAATAAGTCTAGAAGGTGAATTGCAATGCAGTTTGGAACAGGAAGGATCGTCCTTTAAAGGGACGGTTGGGTTGGAGAGAAATACGACCCTCGACAAAGCAAAACGGCACGTTTGAAATGAATGGCCAAATTGATGCACTTCTCTTTCCTGTGGCTTGCAAAAGACCCAAGAAACTGTCTCGTCGGGGATAAATATTACCATTTTTGGAGCAGATTTGAGACGTTGTTCCTTCTGCGTAAAGGACACACAAGTTTCACAAAAGATATTGCAGAGAACGTTGTGGCCAATGTAGACCAGTATTCTGTATCAGCAACTTTGTTAAAGAGCAACCATGAGTCTGGAACAGCAACCTAGATTTACCAATTTGTAACTTAAGCTCATAGTTGCCACATAGGGTGCATCTACACCAGTGGTTCCCAAACTTTGGTCCTCCAGGTGCTTTGGACTTCAACTCCCAGAAATCCCAACTGTTAGGAATTGTGGGAGCTGAAGTCCAAAACACCCAGAGGACCAAAGCTTGGGAACCACTGATCTACACTGTCGAATTAATGCAGTTTGGCCCCAGTTTAGCTACCATGGGATCGTGGGCAATTACATGGCTTTCTGCCTCCTCTGCCAACGAGTGCTACACTACAAATCCCAACATTCCATATTATTGAGGCACTGCAGTTGAAGTGATGTCAAACTGCATTAATTCTAGTGTAGCTCCAAACAAGAAACCAGTATGAAACTGTTGGAGAGGGCTCCTACGCCCTCCTAAAGCTGTAGACTGCAACTCCCAGTCTCCCCAGTTTGAGGATGTTGGGATGTGTCTTTTTTGCATCAAGAAAATCTCCTAGGGATCATACTATTGAACCAAAGCAGTTAAAGTGGGGTGAAACTGCATTAATTCTATATTATTATTATTATTATTTTACTTTTATTTATTTTTTATTTTATATCAAAAGCATTGCATAAATTAGTATAACAAGGATAAAAATAGAAATATCTTTTGGCCAAAAACGGGCAACAGCAACGGCATTGTCTGTAGCCTCCAACAATTCCTCCTCTGTACATGAGGCAGGGCACAATGGACAAGCATACAGATGCGGAGTTGTCTGTTCTGCTCGACAGTCGCACAAGGTTTTAGGATTCTTTTAGATTATTTTTCTGACACAAAAGCACAGTATGTCACAGCAAATGAGATATATATGCTGGATTTCGTATCACAAAATTACAAGCTGAGCATTTCCCAAGCGTCTAGGACTGTGTGATGTTGTTTATTATTATTATTATTATTATTATTATTATTATTATTATTATTTGGAGCCCCCGGTGGCACAGCCGCTGGGCTTGTGGACTAAAAGGTCGGTGGTTCAAATCCGGGGAGTGAGGTGAGCTCTTGCTGTTAGCCCCAGCTTCTGTCAACCTAGCAGTTCAAAAACATGCAAATGTGAGTAGATCAATAGGTACAGTTCTGAGGGAAGGTAATGGCACTCAATGCAGTCATGCTGGCCACATGACTTTGGAGGTGTCTATGCACAACGCTGGCTCTCCGCCTTAGAAATGGAGATGCGCATCACCTCCCAGAATCAGACACAACTAGAATTAATGTCAGGGGAAATCTTTACCTTTGCCTATTATTATTCAGCGCAGATGCAACCTTAAGTCACAATTGTGACGCTGTTGCTCCCCCTTAAACCTACTTTCCTATACATCAGTTGGAGCAAAATGTCAACAATGCTGCATTTTCACTGTAGAATTAATGCAGTTTGATATCCTTTAAGTACCATGGATCAATGCTATGGGATATTGGGAGCTGTAGTCCAGTGAGGCACCAGCACTCCTTATCAGAGAAGGCTAAAGAAGACCTCCGAGAACTATAATTCCTATGATTCTATCACATTGATCCTTTACAGTTAAAATGGAGTTAGAGTATCGATCCACCCTAAGTACTAAGTCGCAAATACAGAATACTGTGGTGTTGCTGTGAGTTTTCCGGGCTGCATGGCCATGTTCCAGAAGCATTCTCTCCTGATGTTTCACCCACATCTATGGCAGGCATCCTCAGAGGTTGTGATGTCTGTTGGAAAGTAGGCAAGTGAGGTTTATATATCTGTGGAATGGTGTCCAGGGTAGGAGAAAGAACTCTTGCCTGCTTGAGCCAAGTAGGAATGTTCCAATTGGCCAGCTTGATTGACATTGAATGGCCTTGCAGCTTCAAAGGCTGGCTGGTTACTACATGGGGGAATCCTTTGTTGGGAGCCTACCATATACCATGCAGCTGTGGACAAGTCTACATAGGGACCACCAAACACAGCATTGTCCAAACATGAATCAAGGAACATGAAAGGCACTTCAGACTAACTCAACCAGAGAAGTCAGCCATAGCAGAGCACCCGATGCACCAATCTGGACACAGCTTATTATTTGAGAATGCGGAAATACTGGAGCACTCCAACAACCACTATGTCAGACTACACAGAAAAGCCACTGAAATCCACAAGCATATGGACAATTTCAACAGAAAGGAGGAAAATGAACGAAATCTGGCTACCAGCATTAAAAAGCTCTAAAATCTGGATAGTAAATAACAGTCAATCAGGATCAGCTAAGACCTCCCAACAAAGAAGTCTCCCAGGCAGCAATCAGCCAGGCTTTGAAGCTGCAAGGCCATTAGGTGTTAATCAAGGTGGTCAATTGCAACATTCACAGCTCCCTCAAGCGAACAAGAGTTCTTTCTCCCACTTTGGACATTCTGCAGATAGAATAATAGAATCATAAAGTTGGAAGAGATCTCATGGGCCATCCAGTCCAACCCCCTGCCAAGAAGCAGGAAAATCACATTCAAAGCACCCCTGACAGATGGTCATCCAGCCTCTGTTTAAAAGCCTCCAAAGAAGGAGCCTCCATCACACTCCGGGGCAGAGAGTTCCACTGCTGAACAGCTCCCACAGTCAGGAAGTTCTTCCTAATGTTCAGGTGGAATCTCCTTTCTTGTAGTTTAAAGCCATTGTTCCATGTCTTAGTCTCCAGGGCAGCATAAAACAAGCTTGCTCCCTTCTCCCTATGACTTCCCCTCACATATTTATACATGGCTCTCATCTTGTCTCCTCTCAGCCTTCTCTTCTTCAGGCTAAACATGCCCATTCTTTAAGCCGCTCCTCATAGGGCTTGTTCTCCAGACCCCTGATCATTTTAGTCACCCTCCTCTGGACACATTCCAGCTTGTCAATATCTCTCTTCAATTGTGATGCCCAGAATTGGACACAATATTCCAGGTGTGGTCTAACCAAGGCAAATAGAGCATGGGGAGCATGACTTCCCTAGATCTAGACCAGGGGTCCTCAAACTAAGGCCCGGGGGCCAGATACAGCCTTCCAAGGTCATTTACCTGGCCCTCGCACAGGGTCAACCTAAGTCTGAAACTACTTGAAAGCACACAAGAACAACAACAACCCTATCTCATCAGCCAAAAAGTAGGCCACATTTCCCATTGAAATACTAATAAGTTTATTATTTATTATTTATTTATTTACAGTATTTATATTCCATCAGGGTGGATTAAAATGTACATATACATGGCAAACATTCAATGTCATAGACACATAATATGTATAGACAGACACTCAGAGGCTATTTAACATTCCAGCTTCTGGCCACCAGGGGAGCTGTCGCTTCACTGTCCATTTGTGAAGTACTTCCTCATTCTTTGCATACTTCCTGGAGATTTTTATGGCCTCATAATTCAGTTAAATTATATTTCTTAAAATTGTTATTCATTTTAATTATTGTATTGTTTTAAAGTGTTTTTTGCACTACAAATAAGATATGTGCAGCGTGCCTAGGAATTCATTCATGGTTTTTTCAAATTAGAATCCGGCCTTCCAACAGTTTGAGGGACTGGCCCTCTGTTTAAAAAGTTTGTGGACCCCTGATCCCCCTATGCTCCTATTGATGCAGGCCAAAATCCCATTGGCTTTTTGTGCCACCGCATCATACTGTTGGCTCATGTTTAACTTGCTGTCTACGAGGACTCCAAGATCTTTTTCACACGCACTGCTCTTGAGCCAGGCATTGTCCCCCATTCTGTATCTTTGCATTTTGTTTTTTCTGCCTAAGTGGAGTATCTTGCATTTGTCCCTTCTCTTCTTCAGGCTAAACATGCCCAGCTCCTTAAGCCACTCCTCATAGGGCTTGTTCTCCAGACCTTTGATCATTTTAGTTGCTCTGGACACGTTTTAGCTTGTCAATATCTCTCTTCAATTGTGGTGCCCAGCAGTTCAAAAACAAAATAGTATACATTATACAGACCTCTGAACCTCTGAGGATGCCTGTCATAGGTGTGGGCGAAACATCAGGAGAGAATGCTTCTGGAACATGGCCATACAGTCTGGAAAACTCACAGCAATGCAGTGATCCTGGCCATGAAAGCCTTTGACAGAATATTGTTGTTTTGTTTCTTTTCTGCCTTTGGCGCACACATTTCTCCCGTTGCGTCGCCTTGTTGGTGGAATCGCCGGACGCAACGACTGCCATCGTTCAACACTGATGAATTCAACACTGCAAACCGCCACTCGATACCTCAAGACGAGAGATCTTTGCCTTAAAGGACAACCCCGCAGCTCTGCGAACCAAGCGGAAGAAGGTTTCCGGAGCCGAGTATTTCCACTCCAAGACTTGACTTGCATTGCCAATTGGTGTTCTGGTTTTGTGAGCGCCTTGTTTGCGTATTTCTAGCCGGTGAGGATTTTTCTACCCATGTATACTGTGAATGCGCTTTACTGCCACGAATCTCTTTCCAACGGAGTCGGAATATTCCTGTGTTTCTCACGTCTTTTGCTGAAAGTTGGGGAAAGTCCTTTGCGGACAATCGCGGATTTATAGCCTTCTCTGCATTCGGGAATCTCAAGGTGTACATTGTTTACTCTTCCAAGTGGCATGTTTAGACAGGGGCATATATACATATATACAAATATATATCTATATATCTCGATAGGGCAATCATTAACAAAATAGCGTAGACATAATCTCTTACCCTGTTTGCATGTGAAAGAGAGAAAGAGAGCGAGAGAGAGTGGGACAATAAGCCAGGATTTGTTAGTCAGCAGTATAGGAAAAAGTGAAATGTATGCACAATGGATAACATTGGACTTTTCGACTTTTTGTCTTTGTGTGGCTCTGCACACAAAGCCCTGGATGCTGGGATTAAGTCTTAACTTGAGTTAGAGCCATTGATTCAATATGATTTACATTCAGAGTTGACACCGGCAATTCAAATGTAGACTCAGGGTGCATATCCACTGTAAGATTCATTCAGTTTGACACTGATCATAACTACCGCGGCGCAATGCTACAGAATCATGGGAGTTGTAGTTTTACTCTTCTGTGCCAAAGAGGGCAGCTGCCTCAGCAAACTGCAGATCCCAGGATTCCATTGAACCGCTGCAGTTGAAGTGTTGTTGTTTTTAATCATGTCAGGAGTGACTTGAGAAACTGCAAGTCGCTTCTGGTGTTAGAGAATTGGCCATTTGCAAGGACGTTGCCCAAGGGACGTCAGGATGTGTTACCATCCTGTGGGAGGCTTCTCTCATGTCCCTGCATGGGAAGCTGGAGCTGACAATGGGAGCTCACCCCATTCCCTAGATTGAGAATTTGTGTGGGAATTGGCCGTTTGCAAGTACGTTGCTCATGGGGTGCCCCGAAGTGTTACCATCCTGTGGGAGGCTCCTCTCATGTCCCTGCATGGGAAGCTGGAGCTGACAGATGGGAGTTCACCCCATTCCCCAGATTTGAGAATTGGTGTGAGAGAATTGGCCGTCTGCAAGGATGTTGCCCAGAAATGTTACCATCCTGTGGGAAGCTTCTCTCATGTCCCTGCATGAGAAGCTCAGGCTGACAGACAGGAGCTCACCGTGCTCTCCGGATTTGAGAATTGGTGTGCAAGGAGTTGCCTAGGGGATGCCTGAAAGTGGCTTCTCTCATGCTCCTGCATGGGAAGCTGGAGCTGACAGACAGGAGCTCACCCCACTCCCCGGATTTGAACTGCCAACCTTTTGGTCAGCAGTCTTGCCAGCTCAAAGGTTTAACCCATTGCGCCACCGGATGTTAAACTGCATTAATTCCAGTGTGGCTGCACCCCAAAGAAGCAGCGGGAAGCCATTTGAGAGGACTCCTATGTCCTCTTGAAGCGATAAGATTGCAACTTCCAGCCGCCCCAATTTGGAGGATGTTGGAATGTGTAGTTTTTCCCATCAGCAAGGCACAAAGTGGCTTCTTGCCATGGCATAGCTGAAGCCAAACCCATTCTAAGAAATAGAGCCAATAACTTTTTCTTTTTTTTTTTTTTTGCTTTCTGAAATAGCAGGGAGAATAATAGAGTGGATGCTTTTATTCCAGTCCTGAAATTACAAGGCTGACGTGCCCCATATTCTTTTGGGCTACATAGATGGCTACAATATTTGAGGAGAGAGGTGCTTAGGGGCTCATAGACCTCTCCCCATCCGTGACACAACTCAATTTTTTTCCCCGTGTTAGGAGCAACTTGAGAAACTGCAAGTCGCTTCTGGTATGAGAGAATTGGCTGTCTGGAAGGACGTTGCCCAGGAGATGCCAGGATGTTTTACCATCCCGTGGGAGGCTTCTCTCATGTCCCCACATGGGAAGCTGGAGCTGATGGGCGGGAGCTCACCCTGCTCTCCGGATTTGAGAATTGGTGTGAGAGAACTGGTCGTCTGCAAGGACGTTGCCCAGGGGATGCCCGGAAGTGTTACCATCCTGTGCAGACATCCAGTTCTCTCACACCAATTCTCAAATCCGGAGAGCGGGGTGAGCTCCCGCCTGGAGCTGACAGGCGGGAGCTTACTCCGCTCTCCGGATTTGAGAATTGGTGTGAGAGAACTGGCCATCTGCAAGGACGTTGCCCAGGGGATGCTCGGAAATGTTACCATCCTGTGGGAGGCTCCTTTGGAAGCTTTTAAACAGAGGCTGGATGGCCATCTGTCAGGGGCGATTTGAACACAATATTCCTGCTTCTTGGCAGGGGGTTGGACTGGATAGCCCATGAGGTCTCTTCCAACTCTTTGATTCCATGATTCTTCTCTCATGTCCCCACATGGGAAGCTGGAGCTGACAGGTGGGAGCTCACCCCTGCTCCCCAGATTCAAACTGCCAACCTTTTGGTCAGCCAGCACAAGGGTTTAACTCATTGCACCACCGAGGGCTCCACTCG